ACAGCCTCAGCATAAAATTATTGACACCTGAATTCCATCAATTCCCAGATTTGCCACCAAATTCAGGCCAATTAAACTTAATCCAGACTATTTCTGTCCTCCAGCTTTGGTGACAGCCTCAGCACTAAATTATTGACACCTGAATGCCACAAATTCCCAGATTTGCCACCAAATTCAGGTCCCATTAAACCCAATCCAGACTATTTCTGTCCTCCAGCTTTGGTGACAGCCTCAGCACTAAATTATTGATACCTAAATTCCATAAATTTGGAGTGGGACCAGTGGTCAATAGAAACATCTCCCAAAACACCCAACCTGCAATCATTCCCTGTTGGATGTGGCTGTGTTGGATGTGCAGCATCCCCAAGGTGCTGCTGGAAGGGACCTGGGGAAAAGGAGTTGGGAATCTCCTCATTCACCCCATGAGGGCAACAAGGAGCAGCTCATGCTTCCCAGGAAAAATATTCCTGTTTAATCAAATCATATTTTAAAATATTAAATAATAGTAAAATATATTAAAATTATCATATAATTATATAATGTAATTATATATTCTATTCTATTTTACATTACTGTATTAAATTATATTAAAAATATTCCTGTTTAATAAAATTATATTTAAAATACGTAATATATAAAATATATTTATTTATTTTTATATATTATATATTTTAATATCATTTAATATTTAAAATATAAAAGTTGAGATATAGAAAGATATAAATATAAAAATATAAATATATATAAATATAATATACATATAATATAAATATAATATAAATATAAAGATATATAAAATACATATTATAATAGATAATATATAATTTATATAACAATATATATTTTATACAATATAAATATAAAGATATAATATAAATATATACTATGATTATATATTATATTACATTATATTATATTATATTATATTATATTATATTATATTGTATTATATTATATTATATTGTATTATATTATATTATATTATATTATGTTATGTTTTGTTATGTTATGTTATGTTATATTACATATTAAATTATTATATTAAATTATATTAAAAATATTTCTGTTTAAGCAAATTATAAAGCTTTTAAAAGCTGATTTCTCTGTTTTAAACCAAACTGAGGTGAATTAGTGTCTGCCTCAACCTCAGATCCATCTGGATAATCCCGCACCAGGGCTCCTGTTGGAAGGAAGTCCCTGGACATCCCAGTTTAGGAAAATTGATAAAATTCTCTCTTTGGTGAAAAACTGGGAGATTACAGAACCAGGCTGTGCTGGGAAAGCATTCCCAGTAAACCCCCAGTAAAGCAGAGCCCAAGCCAAGCAGCTTTGTGGGAAATGCCCTTTTCCTCCCTGTCCTTTTGGTGGACATTCCAGAGGGCAGGGACACGCAGGAGATAAAGGAGGAAATCCCTTTCAGGTTCACAGCAATCCATCCAGGGGGGAATGTCTTGCCAAAAAGAAAACAAATCGTGCAAAGACTTATCTGCTCCCCTAAAAGCCTCTTTTCCCAGTGGTGGCCAGCAAATCTCTGGAAATGCCAGAAGAAAGGGATTGTTCATATAAACACATCCATTTCCAGGGGAAGCTTACTGTTCCTACAGCCAGAGGATGTTTATTTTGTGGCAAAGAGCGCGTTAAAACCTTTCCTCCCTTCTCCTGCACCCCCGGCACTCAGGGATTCCTCATTCCTCATTCCCCAGGTTTAGCAGGTCAGGGGAAGGGGGGAGCCCCAGTGAAGGAAAACGTGAGGAAAAATAAATCCAGGGAATGGAATGGATAAACAAAATAGCTGAGCTGGGGCGTGGAGGCTGAAAATTCCCTGGCTGGGGCAGTGCCAGAGCATGGCTGGGAGCTGCCAGCTCTGTGGGGTGATCCCGAATATCCCCTGCACCACAGGCCGGGATCCCATCCCTCTGCTGCCCTTGGGAACGTGGCTGGGAATGCTCCTGCAGCTTTTAGAGATGCAAAATCAATGGCAACGATTGCAACTCGGGTTTAACACGGTCCTAATGAAGTTTAATGGGTGCCATTAGGAAAACTGGGAGCACCAGCACAATTCATCATTGCACGGATACACGGAAAATGGGAATAAAGAATATCTTGGGGTTTTCTAGCACTTCTTCACCAGCATCTTCTGGATCCAAAGGGAAAACCACCAGGGAAAATTCCTGAAATTTAGGCTATTGTTGCATGTCCCTACTTGCTGTACTATTGTAACTTTTTCTGCTTTCAGACTTGGCAGCTGCAGCCAGCTCTGAGTTTTCGGCTCTTTCTGTTTCTGCTTTCCCAGCTTTCTGAAAATCTTCTTACTTTTATTATTTCCCACAGTTCCCAGGGTGGAAATGGGAATAAAACCAGCAAATACCCACACTGAAGATGAAACCCTGGTTTGGGGCTTCCAGGCTAACTCCAGGACCTCATCCCAGAGTTTTGAAGACCGCAAGGATGGAGTTTGCGCAGCTTCTCTGGGCTTCTGGAAGAGCTGAGAGGAAACAGCTGAAAATTCACTTTCTGCTTGCCTTGGGCACCAAAGCAGCTCCTCAGGGGCACCTCTGGCTCCTCTGCTTCCAGAGCAGCGAATCCAGCAGGGAATCTGTAAGGAGAATCCCAGGTGAGGTCTGGAGTTCAGGTTTCAGGCAGGGGGTGCTGGTGAATGGGAAAGGTCCAAAATTCCTGTTCCAAAGAAAGAGAGAATAATTCTGGAATCATGGAGTGGTTTGGGTTGGAAAGGAGCTTAAAGCTCGTCCCATCCCTGCCATGGCAGGGACATCTTCCCACTGTCCCAGGGTGCTCCAGCCTGGCCTTGGGCACTGCCAGGGATCCAGGGGCAGCCAGGAATTCCCAGTTCCCAATGTCCCATCCATCCCTGGCTCCTGTCCCTCCATCCCTTGTCCCCAGCCCCTCTCCAGCTCTCCTGGAGCCCCTTCAGGCCCTGGAAAGGTCTCCTGGGGCCTTCCCTTCTCCAGGGGAACATTCCCAGCTCTTCCAGCCTTTCCCTCTGATCTCCATGGTCTCCTCTGGACTCTCCAGCAGCTCCAGGTCCTTTCCATGCTGGAGATCCCTGAGGAAAAAGGGGATCCCCGAGGAAAAAAATCATCTCAGTAACAACAGCAAGACCTGGGCATGAACTTCAGCTTTCAGCTCCATGTTTTGGACACCGAGGAGTTTCCCTGAACTGAAGGCACGAGGATCTTTCCAAAAAGGCTTTCCAAGCAGGAATTAGGAAATCCTGTCGTGTGCATTTCTTCCTCTCCCTCAAACTGAGAGCAGCGATCTCCGAGGGAAGAATTTAATCAAAGCCAGCTGCTAATTACTTTCCTGACACCAGGGGAGAAGGATGTTGGCATCCAAAAGATCTGGAAGATTTTTCCTTATTAATATTTGATAAATCTGTAATTGGATCGTTTGATTCCGCAGTCTCCTTTGAATAGGAACTTTATTGAAATGAATCTTTATTAATTCAAAGGCACAAAGTTGAGGGGCTGATAACTCAAGGATTGATTGGAGTATCTGGAAGTGGCAGCCCTGGAGAGGAGATAAATTGGGATTGCCTAAGGACAAGTCAATACAGGCTGGATTTAATCCACAGTGCTTCCAATTAGAGGGCAGAAATTACATTCTGTAAAGAGTTAAACTTAAATTTCTCTGATTTCTCTTTTTTTTTTTGCTGAAGTTCAGAGATTCCACATGAATATTTAATTCAAAAGCAAACGAGAATTAAGTGTGCTAACATTGAATTAATAAAAGAGTTGAGTGGCATCCAATAGTGAGCAAATGTGCTCACGAAAAAGCCCAAAAATCAAAATTGCAACATTAGATGTACTTAATACATCACATTGTTTAGGAACTGATATCACAATTTCCTCTTGATCCTGATAAAACAAAGCCAAGACTTTATTAAATGCAGTAAGAACGTTGTAAGGCTGAATATTATTACCCTGGCCACAAACCCAAAGTCCTGCTCTGGTTTTGAACCATGGAAACCTCTGGCACTGGTTTATGTTAATAAATTTCTGCTAATAAACCAGTGACAAAGCAAAATAAATGTCCAGAAACCTCTGGTTTAGAAGGAAAATAAATTCAAGGCCTTGTGCAAAGTCACTGAGGGATGGGAACGCCCAAACTTTTATTTGGGAGAGATTAAAATTCCTTTTTCTTCACCAGCAACGCTGCTTGGAACAGATAGTGAAGAAATGGCAAAAAATGAGAAAGAAAACTTTAATCCTTGGGGTTGTGACCATTCTCTGGGGAGCCTGTCCAGAGCTCTTCCATAGAAAAAACAACAGGGAAGGAAGTCATTGAAGCAGGTTTTAAATATTTTTATTATTATTTTGTAGAAGTTATTTGAGGTATCACCCTTGAAGTCAGTTTTGTGGCAGAAGTGCCACTAATGCTCCCCATTCCCAGCGAACACCTGGCTTTGCACTTTTCCTTAGAGGAAACACCCTCTCCTCCTTTCAAGTCCCTTCAACAAAATCCTTTTCCCCATTTTATCTCCATTTTCCCTCTTTTTCTCCCCATTTTTCCTTTTTTGGATCCCCAGGAATCATGAAGGCGATGAGGGCGGCTGACGGTCCGTGACTGCCCCCTGGTGCCCCGCATGGGAACAGCACCCACGGCCGCCCTTCTCCGCCCCTCACACGGGGCAACACCGCCTTGGGAGCACAGAGAGGACACCCCAGCCCCGCCACCACCGATCCGGCCCCGCCACCACCGATCCCGGCCCGCCGCCACCGATCCGGCCCCGCCATCACCGATCCGGCCCCGCCACCACCGATCCCGGCCCCGTCGCTCCCACAGGAACCTCCCCAGCCCCGCCGGCCCCGCCGCCATCACCGCCTCCCCTCACGGCCTCCACCGCCCCTCCCGCAGCCCTGAGCAACAGAACGCCGAGCGGCGGATTCCGCACGGTGCCGCGCCGCACCCATCGAGGTGTCGGCAGATCGTCTGGCTCAGCCTGGGGGCGCGCGGCGAGGGCGCGGCGGGGGCGGGTGGGCGCCGCCATTTTGCAGGAAGAGGTGAGGGCGGCCGGGGGCTCCTTTGCTTTTCCTCTTTTCCCGTTTCCTTCTCTTTTCTCCCATTTCCTTTTCCCATTTCTTTCTTCCATTTTCCCGTTTTTTGCTCCCTTCCCGTCAGCTGTTGCTGCCTGTCCGCGGCAGCGCCGCTGCTGGGACGCGGGGAGGCCGGGCGAGGTGTGAGGGGGCTCTGGGGCTGGGGAGTTCAGCGCCTTTTTTTCCTTTTCCCTTTTTCCTTTTCCCTTTTCCCTTTTTCCTTTTTCTTCCTTTTCCTCGTTCCCTTTCCGTTCTCTGCCCTTTCCCTTCTCTTTTGCAGGGGTGTCCGGGGCTGTCATTGCGGGGGGAGCAGCGTCTGCCATGGCCAATGTGAGTGAGTGACGCCCGGCCTTGCGGATAGCCCGGAATTGAGGATTAAATGCAATTACAAACAGGTTTGGGTGGGGAAAAAAACCTTAAAAATCCTTTAATTCCAACTCCGTGCCGTGAGAAGGGACAAATTCCAGTGCGCTTGGACACTTGTTGAACCTCAGCACCCTCAGAGGGAAGAATTTCTCCCTAAAATCCCAATCCAGCTCTCTAGTTTAAATATCCCAGGAATAATGACAAAATTAAGGATTAAATCAATTTTTTCCTGTGCTTTTTCTGTCATCCTGGGCTCAGGCGCGTGTTTTGGAGCGCTCAGCTGATTTGAAGCAATAAAACGCCTTTTGTTGATTGTTTTTCCTGTTATTGATTGTTTTTATCGCTGCCGCCGTGGGGATGAACAATAATAATATGAATAATTCATTTATTCCCTCGCTGCTGCTTGTGCAACGCCAGGTGTGTAAATATTTGCAATTAGTGACATCTCCGTGCTAAGTGAGGCTGATAATGAGGAAAAATTCTCTTTTCTGCTAATTACACGTTGGCTGTAATTGTTTACATCTGTTTACAGCATGCAAAAATTGATTTTAATAGAGATTTGACACGATAAAGAAAAAAAATTTGAGAGGAATCAGATACAGGAACCTTTTGAAGCTCTTTAAAAGGAGACAGCTCCAGGCTTGAACTGGAAATAATTGATTTAAGTTATAAATTAAATGTGTTTTGAAGCATTTAGAGGTTTTATAAATTGGTAGAAATTATTTTATATTTACAGAGGAGTGCTGGATGAAAAACTGCCTTAGGTGCTGATGCTTTAAATACAATTTTTATATTCAACATCCAAATAGCACCATTTATTCTCTTTTAAAAGTAAATTACTTCTGAAAGTGCCTCTTTTGATGTAAAAGTGCATAAATTTTTATAGAATCAAAGCTACAGCACTTGAGGAAAGTCCTTTGATGTGATTTTCTCAAAAGAATTGTTATTCCTCACCTGAAAAGTTGGATTTTCCAAAAAGTGTTTTCCAGGAGATAACCATGGGGACAACCCCTGTCCATAATTTCACGGAAATTTTAAATTTTCAGGGCTTTAACCAACACTAAAACCACTTTAAGGCTTTTTCTTTGCTTGGAACAACAAAATATCAAAATAACAATAAAATATTTTTACAGTTTGATGTTACAGCTGGCCATAATTCAAATTTTAATATAATTATTGGGGGAGGATTTTGCTTATGAAAGAAAGTTTTAAAACCACTTTAAGGCTTTTTCTTTGCTTGGAAAGAAGAGTATAAAAATATACAAAATATAAAAATTAAAATAACAAATATTTCTACAGTTTGATGTTCCAACTGGCCATAATTCAAATTTTAACAGAATTATTGGGGGAGGATTTTTCTTACGAAAGAAAGTTTTAAAACCACTTTAAGGCTTTTTCTTTGCTTGGAACAACAAAATATCAAAACAACAATAAAATATTTTTACAATTTGATGTTCCAACTGGCCATAATTCGAATTTTAATATAATTATTGGGGGAGGATTTTTCTTATGAAATAAAGTTTTAAAACCACTTTAAGGCTTTTTCTTTGCTTGGAACAACAAAATATCAAAACAACAATAAAATATTTCCACAACTTGATGTTCCAACTGGCCATAATTCAAATTTTAACAGAATTATTGAGGGAGGATTTTTCACGGAGCTGCGTTTAAATGATTCTTTGGGTTTTTATTATGAAATTATGATTTTATTTTATTACTAATTTATTCTTTTTATTGTTTTTCCCTCCTCAGGTGCTCTGCAGCAGAGCAAGGTTGGTCTCCTACCTGCCAGGTTTTTACTCCTTGCTCAGCAGGGTTGGAAATGCCAAAGCTTTTTCCACTGCAGGATCCTCGGGCTCCGATGAGCCCCACGTGGCTGCTGCACCCCCTGATTTGTGTAAGGAAAAACACATTTATTCCCTGGAAAATCTGAATTTGGAACTGGGGCTCTTGATTTGGTAGAAGAGAAAAATCAAATTTATGAAGAAAAAACAAGTTTAAGGGAAAAAAGCACATTTAGGAAAAAGAAAAAGCAAATTTATTCCCCTGAAAATCCCAGTTTGGAACTGGGGTTCTTGACTTGGTAGAAGAGAAAAAATCAAATTTATGAAGAAAAAGCAAATTTAAGAAAAAACAAGCACATTTAGGAAAAAGAAAAAGCAAATTTATTCCCCTGAAAATCCCAATTTGGAACTGGGGTTCTTGACTTGGTAGAAGATAAAAATAAAATTTATGGAGAAAAAGCAAGTTTAGGGGAAAAAAACACATTTAGGAAAAAGAGAAATCAAATTTATCCCCTGGAAATCCCAATTTGGAACTGGGATTTTTGACTTGGTAGAAAAGCAAATTTATGAAGGAAAAGCACATTTAGAAAAAAGAAAAAGCAAATTTATTCCCTTGAAATCTGAATTTAGAAGTGGGATCTTTGACTTGGTAGAAGAGAAAAAGCAAATTTTTTTCCCTTGAAATCCCAATTTGGAAATGAGATTTTTGACTTGGTAGAAAAGCAAATTTATGAAGGAAAAGCACATTTAGAAAAAGGAAAAAGCAAATTTATTCCCTTGAAATCAGAATTTGGAAGTGGGATTTTTGACTTGGTAGAAAAGAAGAAGCACATTATGAAAAAAAGCAAATTTATTCCCCTGAAAATCCCAATTTGGAACTGGGGTTCTTGACTTGGTAGAAGAGAAAAAATCAAATTTATGAAGAAAAAGCAAATTTAAGAAAAAACAAGCACATTTAGGAAAAAGAAAAAGCAAATTTATTCCCTTGAAATTAGAATTTAGAATTGGGATTTTTGTCTTGGTAGAGCAGTAAAAGCAAATTGAAGAAGAAGAAGAAGAAGCAAATTTACTCCCTAAAAATGCAAATTTAGAAGTGAGATTTTTGGCTTGGCAGAAAAGCAAATTCATTAAAAAAGCACATTTAGAAAAAGGAAAAAATAAATTTATTCCTTTGAAATATGAATTTAGACTTGGGATTTTTGATTTGGTAGAAGCGAAAAAGCGAATTTTAGAACAAAAAACAAATCTAAGTAGAAAAAGCACATTTAGGAAAAAAGCAGATTTATTCCCTTGCAATCCCAATTTGGAAATGAGATTTTTGACTGAGTAGAAAAGCAAATTTATTAAAAAAGCACATTTAGGAAAAAGAAAAAGCAAATTTATTCCTTTGAAATCCAGATTTGGAATTGGGATTTTTGACTCGGTAGAAAAGCAAATTTAAGGAGAAAAAGCACATTTAGGAAAAAGGATTTCCCTGACCATCTTTGGGATTCCCTGCGGGTTTTGTGATTTCCTGACTGTTTTTGTGCTTTCCTCACTGCTTTGGGATTTCCTGACCAGTTTTGGGTTTCCCTGCTGTCTTTGGGATTTCCCTGCTGTCTTTGGGGTTTCCTGACCATTTCGGGGGTTTCCTGACCATTTTTGGGGTTTCCCTGCTGGTTTTTGGCTTCCCCTGACCAGTTTCAGGTTTCTTGGCCATTTTTGGGATTCCCTTTTGGGATTTCCTGACCAGTTTTGGGTTTCCCTTCTGTCTTTGGGGTTTCCCTTCTGTCTTTGGGATTTCCTGGCTGTTTTTGGGTTTCCCTGACTGCTTTAACGTTTCCTGGCTGTCTTTGGGGTTTCCCTGACCGTTTTGGGATTCCCTGACCAGTTCTTGGGATTTTCCTGCTGGTTTTGGGATTTCCCTGCTGGTTTTGGGTTTCCCTGCTGTCTTTGGGATTTCCTGACTGTTTTTGGGATTTCCCTGCTGGTTTTGGGATTTCCCTGCTGGTTTTGGTTTTCCCTGCTGACTTTTGGGTTCCTCTGACCGGTTTTGGGTTTCCTGACCGTCTTTGGGATTTCCCTGCTGTCTTTGGGGTTTCCTGGCTGGTTTTGGGCTTCCCTGGCCATTTTTGGGTTCCCCTGACCATCTTTGGGATTCCCTGACCATCTTTGGGTTTCCCTGACCGTTTTTAGGATTTCCCTGCTGTTTTTGGGTTTCCCTGACTGCTTTAACGTTTCCTGGCTGTCTTTGGGGTTTCCCTGACCGTTTTGGGATTCCCTGACCAGTTCTTGGGATTTCCCTGCTGGTTTTGGGATTTCCCTGCTGGTTTTCGGATTTCCCTGCCGGTTTTGGGATTTCCCTGCCGGTTTTGGGATTTCCCTGCCAGTTTGGGCTTTCCCTGACCGTTTTTGGGATTTCCCTGCCAGTTTTTGGGATTTCCCTGCCAGTTTGGGCTTTCCCTGACCGTTTTTGGGATTTCCTAGCCGCTTTTGGTGTTTCCTGGCTACTTTTGGGATTTCCCGACCAGTTTTGGGATTTCCCCGCCATTTTTGGGGTTTCCCCTGCCGCTTTTGGGTTTCCCTGCTGTCTTTGGGATTTCCTGACCATCTTTGGGATTCCCTGCTGGTTTTGTGATTTCCTGACTGTTTTTGTGCTTTCCTCACTGGTTTGGGATTTCCTGGCTGCTTTGGGATTTCCCTGCTGTCTTTGGGGTTTCCTGACCATTTTTGGGGTTTCCCTGCTGGTTTTTGGCTTCCCCTGACCAGTTTCGGGTTTCTTGGCCATTTTTGGGATTCCCTTTTGGGATTTCCTGGCCGCTTTTGGGTTTCCCTTCTGTCTTTGGGATTTCCCTGCTGTCTTTGGGGTTTCCTGACCATTTTTGGGGGTTTTCCTGGCTGTTTTTGTGTTTCCCTGATGGTTTTTGGGTTTCCCCACCCCGCAGGTCCCAGGACGGTGTGGCCGGACGAGCTGATGGGTCCCTTTGGGCCGCAGGACCAGCGCTTCCAGCTGCCAGGGAACATCGGCTTCGGGTGCCACCTGCATGGCACTGCCAGCCAGAGAGCCCGGCCCGCCCCCAGCCTGCCCGACCTCCTGGCAGAGCCCTCGGCCAGCGACAGGCACGAGTTTGTCATGGCCCAGTGCATCAACGAGTTCCAGGTGAGGGAAACCCCCGGGAAATTCCCTTGCCTGTCCCGTTCTCGGCTGTTTTGGATGGCCTGGAAAGGCTCGGGATGGCCCTGGGACAGCCCGCGCTCCAAAGGACGAAAGGAGGCTTCAGGTTTTTTCTCGGCCTTCAGGGTTTATTAATTTTTATCTACAAGATTTTCTCTCAACCCGACAGAGGTCTGCACAGCACGTCGGCCATGGACACACTGACTGCCTTCAGGGCGGTCACTGATCTTTATACCCTAAACTACCTGTAAGATATTTACCTATTTTCCCCAATGCTTTTCACCCTTATTGACAAGTGCACTTCTAGTGAGAACCAATCCCAAAGTGCCACCACCACTGTCCCGTTCTCGGCTGTTTTGGATGGCCTGGAAAGGCTCGGGATGGCCCTGGGACAGCCCGCGCTCCAAAGGACGAAAGGAGTCTTCAGGTTTTTTCTCGGCCTTCAGGGTTTATCAGTTTTTATCTACAAGATTTTCTCTCGGCCCCACAGAGCACAGCACGTCAGCCATGAGCACACTGAGAGCACTCTTTATACCCAAAACTACCTATAAGACATTTACCTATTTTCCCCAATGCCTTTCACCCTTATTGACAAGTGCACTTTTAGTAAGAACCAATCCCAAAGTGCCACCACCACCACACAAGATGGAGGCCACGAAGAAGAAGAAGAAGAAGGAGGACAGGACACGCCCCAATTCCTCCATCTTGTTTCTCCAGACCCCCCTGTACCGAAATTCTAAACCCTGTGTTTCACACTGTAATTAACCTATCCCTTCACCATTTATCCCCGTGAGATCCTCCCATCCTCACACAGGTGTCGTCTCCCGTGCAGGATCACAGCCCAGCCACCAGACACTGCTGGCAACGTCCAGGACCTCCGAGCCCCCCAAGGGTTGTCTCGGTGACTCTGCACATCAGGGCTGATGTGCTGAGATCCCACACAGGGGCACTTTTAGTAAGAACCAATCCCAAAGTGCCACCACCACCACAGAAGATGGAGGCCAAGAAGAAGAAGAAGAAGGACAGGACACGCCCCAATTCCTCCATTTTGTTTCTCCAGACCCCCCTGTACTGAAATTCTAAACCCTGTGTTTCACACTATAATTAACCCATCCCTCCATGGTCATTTCCAACCCTTCAGGTGGATCTCCATGGTCACTCCCAACCCTTGAGGTGGATCTGTGTTTCACACTGTAATTAACCCATCCCTTCACCATTTATCCCAGTGTGACCCTCCCATCCTCACACAGGTGTCGTCTCCCGTGCAGGATCACAGCCCAGCCACCAGACACTGCTGGCAACGTCCAGGACCTCCGAGCACCCCAAGGGTTGTCTCGGTGACTCTGCACATCAGGGCTGATGTGCTGAGATCCCACACTCACCCAGGGTTTGCTCCTGGGGAGCTGAGAGGCCTCAGGGAAAAAGGAAAAATTCTTGTAAATTATTTATTCTTAATTCTTATTTGCTTCTCCTGGGTTTTGATCATTTGGAATGTGGTTGGAGATTGTTTCATGGGTTTCATGTCAATTGTTTTCTCTCTTTGGCCAGTCAGTGCCAAGCTGTGTTGAGGCTCTGGAAAGAGTCAGGAGTTTTCATTATTATCTTTTTAGCCTTCTCTCTGTATCTGTTCTGTATTCTTTAGTATTCTTTAATGTAATATAGTATCTTAAAGTAATGAATTAGCCTTTGAGAACCTGGAGTAAGATTCATCCTTCCTTTCCTTCCTTTCTTTCAGCCACTCCCTCCTTTCCCCTTTTCCTTTTCCCCTTTTCCTTTTCCCCTTTTCCTTTCCCCCTTTTCCTTTCCCCTTTTCCTTTCCCCCTTTTTCCTTTCCCCTTTTTCCTTTCCTTTCCTTTCCTTTCCTTTCCTTTCCTTTCCTTTCCTTTCCTTTCCTTTCCTTTCCTTTCCTTTCCTTTCCTTTCCCCTTCCCCAGCAACCCCCTGCACATGGGACAAGCACAACTCTTCCTCAAAAAGGATTTTCTGCCCCATCTTCTGCCACAGAAACTGCCTCAAGGTGGTTCATTTTTAGGAGAAAAAGATTTCAGGCTGTTTTGAAACAGCATTTCAGGAGTGATTATTGGCAGGATTTCAGTGTACAAACTTGCTGTTGGCCGAGTCTCACCACCTTTTACCCTGTAAAATTGAAATTTCCTTCAGTATTTTATTGAATGGATCTGGATTTGCAAAGTCTGGGCAATGTTTAGTTCTATATCAATGGAATTCACAGAGGAATCCCCCAAGCTCACAATGAGAGATTCATCATTGTGAATATACTCAGTAAAATTGAAATTCCCTTCAGTATTTTATTTCATGGATTTGGATTTGCAAAGTTTGGGCAATGTTTAGTTCTAAAAACCATGAAATTCACCCAGAAATCCCTCAAGCTCATAACGAGAGATTCATCGTTGTCATTCATAATTTCAATTCAAAATTGAAATTTCCATCAGTATTTTATTGGATGGATCTGGATTTGCAAATTTTGGGCAATATTTAGTTCTAAAAGTCATGGAATTCACCCAGGAATCCCCCAAGCTCATAATGAGAGAATCATCATTTTAAATACACCCAGTAAAATTGGAATTTTCCTTCGGTTTTTTATTTCATGGATCTGGATTTGCAAAGCTTGGGCAGTGTTTAGTTCTGAAAACCCCAAAATTAACAGAGGAATCCCCCAAGCTCAATGAGAGATTCATCCTTGTAATTCATCATTTCAATTCAAAATTGAAATTTCCTTCAGTATTTTATTTCATGGATCTGGATTTGCAAAGCTTGGGCAATGTTTACTTCTGAAACCCATGGAATTCACCCAGAAATCCCCCAATTTATAATAAATCCCCCCTCTCATTGTGAGAAGATTCTGGCAGTGTTGCAGATTTATCAGTATGAATACACCCAGTAAAATTGGAATTTTCCTTCAGTATTTTGGATTTGCAGAGTTTAGGCAATGTTTAGTTCTAAAAATTATCTATCTTTTTATATATTTTTATGTCTTTTCAGATTTGGAATAACTTTTAGTGACTTTCAATGTTGTTAATAATTTTATTATTTCAATATTTAATAAGAAAAATGTGAAGTGCCACTGGAAATCACTGAAACTGCTCGAGTTTATCTGATCCCTAAACCCTATTTTGATGTACAGAGTTATTCCTGTTTGATATTAACTGAAAATTTGAATTTTTCTGCTTTTTAGAAATCCTCCAATTTTTAATAATCTCCCCTCTCATTATGAGAGGATTCTGGCAGTGTTGCAGATTCATCAGTATGAATACACCCAGTAAAATTGGAATTTCCCTTCAGTATTTTGGATTTGCAGAGTTTAGGCAATGTTTAGTTCTAAAAATTATCTATCTTTTTATATCTTTTCAGATTTTAAATAACTTTTAGTGACTTTCAGTATTGTTAATGATTTTATTATTTCAATATTTAATAAGAAAAATGTGAAGTGCCACTGGAAACCACCTGAAACTGCTCGAGTTTATCTGATCCCTAAACCCTATTTTGATGTACAGAGTTATTCCTGTTTGATATTAACTGAAAATTTGAATTTTTGTGCTTTTTAGGGTTCTGATGCTCCCCAGAAGCAGCAGATCAATAATGCTGAAACCTACTTTGAAAATGCCAAGGTGGAATGTGCAGTGCAAGCCTGTCCTGAGCTGCTGAGAAAAGGTTCGGTTTTATTTCCAGCCAAAAAATTCCAACTTTTAAATGCAAAACCAGTGAATGTCAATGCTCCACACAGAATGTGCTGCGGGAAAGGTTAATTCAGTTAATCAGTACAAAAATCCCTGTGGATAGAATGGAAATGTTGGCAATTTTTAATGTAAAAATTTAAAATTTAAATTAATTTTTTAAATATTTGCTGTTGACAGTCTTTACTATTTCATTTAAAATGTAATTTTTAGTTGTTGTTTGACTGGGAAATTCTGGAGTTAATTCCTTATCTAAAATCCATTTACCAAATCCTTTGGAATTGCTAAAAAACAACAAATGGGAATCAGGAAACTTCTGAATTTGTGTTTTTAATTTATTCAGGAAGAAAATTCCCAAAATTAATTGAGAACCATTTAATATCTTTCAATATATTTTCAGATTTGAAACAACTTTTAGTAATTTTCAATATTGTTCATAATATTATTATTTCAATATTTAAGATGAAGAGTGTGAAGTGGGAGTGCAAATCACCTGAAACTGCTCAAGTGTATTTAATTGAATTTAATTAATTATTAAATTAAATTATATTTCATTAAATGGGAACCATTTAATTATATAAAAAGTAAAAATAATAACCAAATAGGAAATTAAATGGGAATAATTAAGTTATATAAAAAGTAAAACTAATAACCAAATAGGAAAGTAAATGGGGAACAATTGGGTTAAATAAAAAGTAAAATAATAACCAAATAGGAAATTACATGGGAATAATTAAATTAAATAAAAAATAAAAATAATAACCAAGTAGGAGATTAAATGGGAGCAACTGAATTAAATAAAAAGTAAAAATATTCAAAGTAAATAGTAATAATAATACTTAATTTATAATAATAAAATATATTTATATAATTTAATATACATATTATATATGAAATATATAAAACTTCATATATAAATTATTTATATAATTTAGTATATAATTTAATCTATAAATTGTTACCATTTAATATATAAATTATATTAGTATACATTTATATAAATAATATAAATATATGTATATATGTCAGTATATGCATATTTATAAATTAAATTAAATCTAATTATATTTATATTTATTATATATTAATTTTAATAATAATAAAAATTAAAAGAAACCACATTAAATAAAGTAATTTGAAAAGGGAAATATGACTGAAATATTGGTGTGGCTGGGAGGGAAGGCTGCCCTGGCAGAGCAGAACAAACTCTGTATTAAATATTAATTGTAATAATAATAAAAATTAAAAGAAAACCAATTAAATAAAGCAATTTAAAAAGGGACTGTTGGTGTGTGTAGGAGGGAAGGCTGCCCTGGCAGAGCAGGACAAACTCTGCATTTTCCCCACATTTATATTTATTATATATTAATTGTAATAATAATAAAAATTAAAATAAAACCAATGAAATAAAGCAATTTATAAAGGGACTGTTGGTGTGTGTGGGAGGGCAGGCTGCCCTGGCAGAGCAGGACAAACTCTGCATTTCCCAATTTCAGATTTCCAGGCGCTGTTCCCCGAGGTGAACCCCAAGCGCCTGACGGTGCTCACGGTGACCCAGAGGAGCCGGCACGACATGAGCGTGTGGAGCCACGAGGTGGAGCAGGAGAGGGAGGTGCTGCTGGAAAAGGTCAGTGCCAACAGCAAACCCCAGTTCACATCTGGTACACCCCACACCAAACCCCAATTCACATCTGGTACACCCCACACCAAACCCCAATTCACATCTGGTACACCCCACACCAAACCCCAATTCACATCTGGTACACCCCACACACCAAACCCCAATTCACATCTGGTACACCCCACACCAAACCCCAATTCACATCTGGTACACCCCACACACCAAACCCCAATTCACATCCTGGTACATCCCACACCAAACCCCAATTCACATCTGGTACACCCCACACACCAAACCCCAATTCACATCTGGTACACCCCACACACCAAACCCCAATTCACATCCTGGTACATCCCACACCAAACCCCAATTCACATCTGGTACACCCCACACCAAACCCCAATTCACATCTGGTACACCCCACACACCAAACCCCAATTCACATCTGGTACACCCCACACACCAAACCCCAATTCACATCCTGGTACACCCCACACCAAACCCCAATTCACATCTGGTACACCCCACACACCAAACCCCAATTCACATCCTGGTACATCCCACACCAAACCCCAATTCACATCTGTTACATTCCCACACACCAAACCCCAATTCACATCTGGTACACCCCACACACCAAACCCCAGTTCACATCTGGTACATCCCACACACCAAACCCCAATTCACATCTGGTACACCCCACACCAAACCCCAATTCACATCTGGTACACCCCACACACCAAACCCCAATTCACATCTGGTACATCCCACACACCAAACCCCAATTCACATCTGGTACACCCCACACACCAAACCCCAATTCACATCTGGTACACCCCACACACCAAACCCCAATTCACATCTGGTACATCCCACACACCAAACCCCAATTCACATCCTCTTACATCCCACACACCAAACCCAAATTCACATCTGGTACATCCCACACACCAAACCCCAATTCACATCTGGTACACCCCACACACCAAACCCCAATTCACATCTGGTACACCCCACACCAAACCCCAATTCACATCTGGTACATCCCACACACCAAACCCCAGTTCACATCTGGTACACCCCACACCAAACCCCAATTCACATCTGTTACATTCCCACACACCAAACCCCAATTCACATCTGGTACATTCCCACACACCAAACCCCAATTCACATCTGGTACATCCCACACCAAACCCCAATTCACATCTGGTACACCCCACACACCAAACCCCAATTCACATCCTGGTACACCCCACACCAAACCCCAATTCACATCTGGTACATCCCACACCAAACCCCAATTCACACCCTGTTACATCCCATAGAGATATGTATGATATAGATCCATATTCTATATATACAGAGATAGATGTAATATAGATCCATATTCTATAGATAGAGATATATGATATAGATCCATATTCTGTATATAGAGAGATAGATATAATATAGATCCATATTCTATATAATGTAGATCCATATTCTATATATAGTGATATATAAAATATATCTGTATATATAAAATATCGATCTATATTCTATATATAGATATATAATACAAATTCATATATATAATATTGATCCATATTCTATGTATAGATATATAATACTGATCCGTATTTTTATATAGAGATATATAATATACATCCTTATTATAGATATTGATATAAATAATATAAATCTATATTCTATATATAGATATATAATACAGATCTGTACTTTATATATATATATATAATATGGAACCATATTTTATATATATAGATATATATCATTTAGATCCATATTAAATAGAGAGAGATATATAATATAGATCCTTATTATATGTATGGTGACATATATATAAATCTATATTCTATATACAGATATATAGCACAGATCCATATTCTATATAGAGAGAGGTATATATAATATAGATCTATATTTTATATATAGATATATATAATATAGATCCATATTCTATATATACATATGTAGTACAGATCCATATTTTATATATAGAGATATATATAATTTAGATCCATATTCTATACTTAGCGATATATATAATATAGGTACTTATATATAGTGATATATATAATCTAAATCTATATTCTATATATAGATATATAGTACAGATCCGTATTTTATATATATAATATATATCCATATTTTATATATAAAGAGATGTATATAATTCAGATCCATATTATATAGAGAGAGATATATAGATCCTCATTATATGTATAGTGATATATATAATCTAAATCTATGTTCTATATATAGATATATAATATAGATCCATATTTTATATATATTTATAATATAGATCCATATTTCATATGTCTAGAGGTATATATAATATAGATCTGTTTTATATATATGTAGATATATATAACATAGATCTTTATTATATATATATACATATATAATATAAATCAATATTTTATATATATATAATATAGATCCATGTTTTATATATATGGTATAGTTCTATATTTAATATATTTAATATAGATCCATATTTTATAGAGAGAGAGATATATAGTATAGACCTTTTTCTGTATATAGAGAGATTCATATAATATAGATGTATAATCTATATATAGAGATCTATATAATATAGATCTGTATATAATATAGATCTCTGTTACATTATTAAATGTAATATATTACATTTTAATCTTTAATATTATTTATAATACACTTCTATTATAGTTCTTCATTATTAATTATCATTTACTGTTTAATTCATTTAATTATGATTCCACTACACTTTCTACTGGTCAAAAATGTAAAAATCACCAATTCTCTGGGTTTTTTTCACTTCAATGAATGTTTTTAATTCTTTGAACCCTGAATTTCTAAAATGTAAAAAAATGTAAAAATCCCCAATTATTCTGGGGTTTTTTTCACTTTAATGGATGTTTTTAATTCTTTTAACCCCGAATTTCAGTTGTGTTATTTCATCTTAACTTTGTCTTGTTCTTTTACCTCTAGAGGGCTCTGAAAATCCCTTTATTTCCCATTTTCCACAATTTAACCATTTCCCCACCAAGTGTCGCTGTGCACTGCCCTTAGCCCCTCAATAAAAGAACATTTCTGCCTATTCTTTATAAAATATCCCCAAACCCAGCATTTCACCTGGAAATAAATCATATTTATGCCTGAAATTAATCTGGGAATGCCCTAAAACACAAATATGGGCTGTATTAATCAACCACAAAAAAAGGAATCAACACAAAATGACACAGAAATTAAAATTCCCTTTATTTCAGTGTGTTCTTCTCTGTGGATTATTTCTGCCCTCTTGCTCTTTAGTGTTTTAATCTGCTCTAATTATGTGTTAATTGGCATCTTTCCTCCTCAGGCACCTCCCTGTCAGGTCTGATCCAGTCACTGAGGGGTTAAAACCAAAAATTCACAGGGAAATGTTGGTTTGCTTGCAGAATTCACCTGAAAAATCCTCATGTCAGGGGCTAAAAAATGAGATTTTGCAGCCAAATCCAAATATTTGCATTAATCCAGCTCAAGTGTTCATTAACCTCACCCTGGAGAGATCCTGCATCAGAAATGTTCTGCCTAAAATTGGGATATTTGGGATTTAATTTACAATTTGGACATGATTAATCATCAGAGCAATCAGACTTCAAAATACAGAATTTACTGGGGGAAATTTTCCTTATTTTGAACTAATAGAAATTTACTATAAGGGGTAAAAATCCCTCATTTTGAACTAATACAGGATTTGCTGTAAAGGATAAATTTTCCTTATTTTGAACTAATGCAGAATTTATTTTAAAAGATACATTTTCCTTATTTTGAACTAACACAGAATGTAATTTCCCCTTATTAATATTAATCCAAAATAAGGGTAAAATTCCCTAGTTTTGAATTAATACAGAATTTATTGTAAAGGATAAAGTTTCCTTATTTTGAACTAATACAGAATTTTTTGTAAAGGATAAATTTTCCTTATTTTGAACTAACACAGAATGTACTGTAAATTTCCCCTATTAATATTAATTCAAAATAAGGATAAATTTTCCTTATTTAGAACTAATACAGAATGTACTGTATATATCCCTATTAATGCAAATTCAAAATAAGGGTAAATTTTCCTTATTTTGAATTAATACAGAATTTACTGTAAAGGGTAAAATTCCCTCATTTTTTATTGAAAAAGATAAATTTTCCTCATTTTGAACTAATAGAGAATTTACTGTAAAGGGGAAAATTCCTTCATTTTGAACTAATTTAGAATATACTGTAATTTTCCCTTATTAATATTAGTTCAAAATAAGGGTAAATTTTCCTTATTTTGAATTAATACAGAATTTATTGTAAAAGATACATTTTCCTTATTTTGAACTAACAGAGAATGTACTGTAAATTTTCCTTATTAAAATTAATTCAGAATAAGGATAAAATTCCCTTATTTTAAATTAATACAGAATTTATTGTAAGTGATAAATTTTCCTTATTTTGAACTAACATAGAACTTAATGTAAAGGATAAAATTCCCTCATTTTGTATTGTAAAGGATAAATTTTCCTTATTTTGAACTAACACAGAATTTACTGTAAAGGGTAGAATTCCCTTATTTTGAATTAATACAGAATTTATTGTAAAGGATAAATTTTCCTTATTTTGAACTAATAGAGAATTTACTGTAAATGGTAAAAATCTCTCATTTTGAACTAATAGAGAATTTACTGTAAAGGGTTAAATTCCCTTATTTTAAACTAACACAGAATTTGCTGTAAAGGATAAATTTCCCTTATTTTGGACCTGTTAAGGGACTGAAGCTGAATAAATAATATTTTTCTAAATTTGGAACCTTGAGCTTCTTAGAGCACTAATTGCAGAGAAAATCCAATTTTTACAACTGTAAGTAAATAAATTATATTATTTATAACAAAGTTAGAAATAATTCTTTTTATGTGATAACTTCATGTGATGCCTTTCTTTTCCCAATTTTCCCCTTCCAGTTCATCAATGGTGCCAAGGAAATCTGCTATGCAATTTCTTCTGAGGGCTACTGGGCTGATTTCATTGATCCCTCCTCAGGACTGGCTGTAAGTTCTTTCTTGCAGTAAAATTTGGATTAAATCCAACTTTTTCAGGATAATTCTGTGAATAAATGAAGATTTATGAGCTCAGCTGTGTCAGCTCTGAGTGCAGGGCCAGCACTGTCAGGAAATGAAATTGGATTTCAGGAAATGGAGAAGTTTTATGTCCCAAATCCCTTGGGCACTTTGTGCCCTGCCCAGGTAACTTGGGAGCCCTGACACCTGTGCAGGTGAAGGCTTTAAAAAACCTCTTTGCACCTGTTCATGATCCCTTTGTCCCCAAAAATGAACTTTTTGTTCTGTGAACACTGGGAGCTTTCAGTGGGAGATGAGGTTTGCTCTGAGCTCTGCTAAAACCCTGTCACAGTTCAGGGGATGGTGGCAAAGCTCAGCTTGGTGGGGATTTATTTAAAAACACTCCAAAAGCAGGGATTGATTTATTTATTGTGCCAACAGAGGCACACAGGGCTTGTTTGGGAGGCAGAACAGGCAGCTCAGGGCTGGAAAAGCTCCCCAGAATTCCATGTCTTTAAAGAATTTGGGGGTGATGGAAGTGGGGTTTTGTCTGCAGACTCGAGCAGCCACATCCCAGCCCAGGATCTGGAGTGGGCTTGGACTCAGCAGCTTCTCCTGAGATAGAGAACTGAGATATCCCTTTGTCCCAAAAATGAACTTTTTGTTCTGTGAACACTGGGAGCTTTCAGTGGGAGATGAGTTTTAGTCTGAGCTCTGCTAAAACCCTGTCACAGTTCAGGGGATGGTGGCAAAGCTCAGCTTGGTGGGGATTTATTTAAAAACACTCCCAAAAGCAGGGATTGATTTATTTATTGTGCCAACAGAGGCACACAGGGCTTGTTTGTAATGCAGAACAGGCAGCTCAGGGCTGGAAAAGCTCCCCAGAATTCCATGTCTTTAAAGAATTTGGGGGTGATGGAAGTGGGGTTTTGTCTGCAGACTCGAGCAGCCACATCCCAGCCCAGGATCTGGAGTGGGCTTGGAGTCAGCAGCTTCTCCTGAGGTAGAGCACTAAGATATCCCTTTGTCCCAAAAATGAACTTTTTGTTCTGTGAACACTGGGAGCTTTCAGTGGGAGATGAGTTTTAGTCTGAGCTCTGCTAAAACCCTGTCACAGTTCAGGGGATGGTGGCAAAGCTGGGATTGATTTATTGTGCCAACAGAGGCACACAGGGCTTGTTTGGGAGGCAGAACAGGCAGCTCAGGGCTGGAAAAGCTCCCCAGAATTCCATGTCTTTAAAGAATTTGGGGGTGATGGAAGTGGGGTTTTGTCTGCAGACTCGAGCAGCCACATCCCAGCCCAGGATCTGGAGTGGGCTTGGACTCAGCAGCTTCTCCTGAGACAGAGAGCTGAGATATCTGTGTGCAACTTAAATAGCAGGTCAATGTAAAACTTAAATACCAGTTTCATTTAACACTTAAATACCAGTTTAATTAAAAAACCTAAATACCAGTTCAATTTAAAAACTTAAATATCAGTTCAATTTAAAAACTTAAATACCCGTTTAATTTAAATACTTAAATACCAGTTCAATTAAAAAACTTAAATACCAGTTTAACTTAAAAACTTAAATACCAGTTTAATTTAAATACCTGTTTGCAACTTAAATATCACTTTAATTTACATTCCAGTTTCATTTAAATACCTGCTTTCAACTCAAATATCAGTTTAAATACCTCAATACCAGTTTAATATAAATACCGCTTTGCAACTTAAATATCAGTTTAATTTAAATATCAGTTTTATTTAAATACCTGCTTGCAACTTACATATCAGTTTAATTGAAATATCAGTTTCATTTAAATACCTGTCTGCAACTTAAATATCAGTTTAAATATTTCAATACCTGTTTAATATAAATACCTGTTTGCAACTTAAATATCAATTTAATTTAAATACCAGTTTAATTGAAATACCTGTTTGCAACTTAAATATCAGTTTAATTGAAATATCAGTTTAAGTACCTGTCTGCAACTTAAACATCCATTTAAAGACTTAAATATCCGTTTAATTTAAGTACCTGTTTTAACCTAAATATCAGTTTAATTGAAGTATCAGTTTAATTGAAATACCTGTCTGCAACTTAAATATCAGTTTAATTGAAATATCAGTTTCATTGAAATACCTGCTTGCAACTTAAATATCAATTTAAATACTTCAATACCAGTTTAATTTAAATACCTGTTTGCAACTTAAATGTCAGTTTCATTTAAATATCAGTTTAATTGAAATATCAGTTTCATTTAAATACCTGTCTGCAACTTAAATATCAGTTTAATTGAAATATCTGTTTAATTTAAATACCTGTTTGTAACTTAAATATCAGTTTAAATACTTAAATATCAGTTTAATTGAAATACCTGTTTGCAACTTAAATATCAGTTTAATTGAAATATCAGTTTAAGTACCTGTCTGCAACTTAAACATCAGGTTAAAGAGTTAAATATCAGTTTAATTTAAGTACCTGTTTTCAACCTAAATATCAGTTTAATTGAAGTATCAGTTTAATTGAAATACCTGTCTGCAACTTAAATATCAGTTTAATTGTAATATCAGTTTCATTGAAATATCAGTTTCATTTAAATACCTGCTTTCAACTCAAATATCAGTTTAAATATTTCAATACCAGTTTAATATAAATACCTGTTTGCAACTTAAATATCAATTTAATTTAAATATCAGTTTAATTGAAATACCTGTTTGCAACTTAAATATCAGTTTAAATACTTAAATATCAGTTTAATTGAAATATCAGTTTAATTTAAATACCTGCCTGCAACTGAATTACCAGTTTAATTTAAATACTTAAATTCCAGTTTAATTTAAATACCTGTTCACAATTGAATCACATTTTTGCTCCTCTGACCAACTTTCTTTCGGGATTTATTGCAAATTGGAGTTGTTAATTTTTACAATTTCCAAGGAATTTTCTCTCCTTAGTCCCTGTCCTGTCTGTGCTGTTTCAGGCAGGGCTCTGCCCTTGATTCCTCACAAAGGTGGGGTTGGGATTTGAAAGAGAAACCTTTCAAACTCCACATAAAGCTTCTCCCCACAGCTAAACCCAATCTTACCTTTCCCCCATCCATCAGAACTGGAAATCCACGTGGAAAACTCTTACAGCGACCTGAGGAGGTCTCTGGGGTGAGAGAAGGACGAGAATCTTGTTTCTTGGTCAGAAGGCTGGATTTATTGATATATGATATATAATACATTAGAACTATACTAAAAAGAATAAAGAGAGAAGCTGCAGAAGCTTTTAAGCTAAGCCAAGAATCAGAATAGAATCTAAAATTCGACAATCTAAAAATTGTCGAATTCTTGACATAAATTGTAAATATCTTGAAGATTTGATGTTGTATCTTCAGCTGGCTTCCTGTAATTCCAGTTAAGATTGGGATGCTCATTTTTGACTTTAGGTTCTTTAAGTTTTGTCCTGTAAAGGCCCAAAAAAGAGAATTCTCTGTGTTCCAGAGAGCTTGCCCTGTGATTGGCTCTTAATTGTACACATGGAACATGAACCAATCCCAGGTGCATCCCATTGCATCCCACAGCAGCTGATAATTATTGTTTACATTCTCTCTCTTCGGCCTCAGCTTCCCAGAAGATAAACAAATCTGAAAGAAAGATTTCTATGAAAAAATGTCTGCGGCAGAAAACCTTTCATTTATGATTCTTTCCCTGCAGTTTTTCGGGCCTTACAGCAACAACCCCCTGCTGGAGACGGACGAGCGCTACCGGCACCTGGGCTTTGCCGTGGACGACCTGGGCTGCTGCAAAGTGATCAGGCACAACCTGTGGGGCACCCACGTGCTGGTGGGCACCATCTGCACCAACGCCGAGCCCGACAGCCCCATCGTGAGGAAGCTCAGCGGCCACTGAGCCCTCCCTGCTGCTGCTGTCCCCCCCAGGGATCCTTCAGCTCGTGGGTGATCCTCAGGGCTTCCTCACTCTGAGTGTTCTTAGAGAATAAAAGTAGCTGGGATTTATTTCTGGTCTGTTGGGAATGTGTGTTCACCACATGTGGCTTGGCAGCCTTGAGAACCAGAGGAGTGATCGTTTCCTTTTTAAATTCTCCATTTTCTCTCACCTCGACAATTCTTTCGTTGCTCAGTTTAATGCTCAGAATCCTCTGAAAATGCCACTGAAATTCCCAACTTTCGTTGCTCAATTTAATGCTCAGAATCCTCTGAAAATGCCACTGAAATTCCCAACTTTCGTTGCTCAATTTAACGCTCAGAATCCTCTGAAAATGCCACTGAAATTCCCAACTTTTGTTGCTCAATTTAATGCTCAGAATCCTCTGAAAATGCCACTGAAATTCCCAACTTTCGTTGCTCAATTTAACGCTCAGAATCCTCTGAAAATGCCACTGAAATTCCCAACTTTCATTGCTCAATTTAATGCTCAGAATCCTCTGAAAATGCCACTGAAATTCCCAACAAATCTGCCATTCCTGAAATTAGGAACTGGCAAAAAAAATATGGAATGAGTCATAAAATTGTTCTCCCAGAATGCAGAACTTAATAAAATCTGGGCTAATCACTCATTTGCTGTTGGAAAATGAGAATGAGGTCAACTTCCAGTGCTCTCCAGCTCATCCAGAGACTCCATAAAAAGTCCTTAATTACCCTGGAATTACTCATCTCTTATTGTTTTTTATCTTTCATGGTGCTTGGGATTTATTTTCTCAGTATTAGCTAAATATATTTAATTAGTTTATATACCTAAATGTAATTTAAAGTTGCTTTTGTAACTTTCTTAGGTCATTAAATACCAAAAAAGAGAGATAATGGGGCAGTGCTTGGATCTCATCATTGTTTTCCTGGACTTGGATGCAATCTAGACTTGCCTCTGGAATTTGGAAATGCAGAGAGCAATTAGGATCAATTATTGCAATTAGAGAGATGTTTCAACAGGAAGGTTCCAGGCTCCAGAAACACTCAATCAATGAGTGGGGGAGCAGCAGGGCAGGAATGCCAAGGCTCCTGGAACACCTGGAATTTCAGAGCCTTGCACTTTGGCTCTGGGCTGAAGCAATAAAGCAGATTTGGGTCTCAGCCCAGGCAGTTTGGGGCTGTTTTCCTGGAAAAATGGGAATCCTTCAGGCTTTATTCTTCATAAAATTCTTTATTCTCCATAAAAATGGCTCCAAACTGCCTGGGATAACACCAAGAATCAAGGTAAAATCCCTGGATCCTCAGCCAGACCAGGCTGCTGCACATAACCATGCAATAAATCCTACAGGATTCCCATTTTTCCAGGAAAACAGCCCCAAATTGCCTGGGATAACAGTTTTGGAGCCATGTTTCATGGAGCAATGGGAATCCTTCAGGCTTTATTCTTCAGGAATGTGCTGCAGCCTGGTCTGGGTGAGGATCCAGGGATTTTACCTTGCTCTTTGCTGTTATCCCAGGCAGTTTGGAGCCATTTTTATGGAGCAATGGGAATCCTTCAGGCTTTATTCCAGCTCAGTCTAGTGAGGATCCAGAGATTTTACCTTGATTCTTGCTGTTATCCCAGTCAGTTTGGGGCCATTTTCATGGAGCTCTGGGAATCCTGCAGGCTTTGTTCCATGGTTATGTGCAGCAGCTCAGTCTGGGTGAGGATCCAGGGATTTTACCTTGACTTTTGCTGTTATCCCAGGCAGTTTGGGGCCATTTTGCAATGGGAATCCTTCAGGCTTTTTTCCAGCTCAGTCTGGGTGAGGATTCAGGGATTTTAACCTGACCTTTGGTGTTATCCTGGGATAACAGTTTTGGAGCCATTTTTATGTAGCAATGGGAATCCTGCAGGATTTATTGCATGGTTATGTGCAGCAGCCTGGTCTGGGTGAGGATCCAGGGATTTTACCTTGATTCTTGCTGTTATCCCAGGCAGTTTGGGGCTGTTTTTCATGGAGCAATGGGAATCCTTCAGGCTTTATTGCAGCTCAGTGTGGGTGAGAATCCAGAGATTTTACCTTTCTCTTTGCTGTTATCCCAGGCGGTTTTGGGGCTGTTTTCCTGGAAAAATGGGAATCCTGCAGGCTTTGTTCCACAGCAATGTGCTGCAGCTCAGTGTGGGTGAGGATCCAGAGATTTTACCTTGACCTTTGCTGTTATCCCAGGCAGTTTGGAGCCATTTTTCATGGAGCAATGGGAATCCTTCAGGCTTTATTGCAGCTCAGTCTGGGTGAGGATCCAGAGATTTTAACCTGATCTTTGGGGTTATCCCAGGCAGTTTGGGGCCATTTTGCAATGGGAATCCTTCAGGCTTTTTTCCAGCTCAGTCTGGGTGAGGATCCAGGGATTTTAACCTGACCTTTGCAGTTATCCCAGTGAGTTTGGAGCCATTTTGATGGAGCACTGGGAATCCTTCAGGATTTATTCTATGGGAATCTGTAGCAGCTTGGTCTGACTGAAGATCCAGGGATTTTACCTTGACCTTTGGTGTTATGCTGGGATAACAGTTTTGGAGCCTTTTTTCATGGAACAGTGGGAATCCTGCAGGCTTTATTCCAGCTCAGCCTAGCTGAGGACCCAGGGATTTTACCTTGACTTTTGGTGTTACCTCAGGCAGTTTTGGGACCCTTTTGCAGTGGGAATCCTTCAGGCTTTATTCCAGCTCAGTCTGGGTGAGGATCCAGGGATTTTACCTTGCTCTTTGCTGTTTTCCCAGGCAGTTTTGTAGCCTTTTTCATGGAGCTCTGGGAATCCTGCAGGATTTATTCCACGGGAATCTGTTGCAGCTCAGTCTGGGTGAGGATCCAGGGATTTTACCTTGCTCTTTGCTGTTATCCCAGGCAGTTTGGGGCTATTTTTATGGAACAATGGGAATCCTTCAGGCTTCATTCCAGTTCAGTCTGGGTGAGGATCCAGGGATTTCACCTCGACCTTTGCTGTTATCCCAGGCAGTTTTGGAGCCATTTTGCAATGGGAATCCTGCAGGCTTTATTCCAGCTCAATGTGAGTGAGGATCCAGGGATTTCACCCCGACCTTTGCTGTTATCCCAGGCAGTTTTGGAGCCTTTTTGCAATGGGAATCCTGCAGGCTTTATTCCAGCTCAGTCTGGGTGAGGATCCAGGGATTTTACCTTGACTTTTGGTGTTACCTCAGGCAGTTTGGAGCCATTTTGCAGTGGGAATCCTGCAGGCTTTATTCCAGCTCAGTCTGGGTGAGGACCCAGGGATTTTAACCTGATCTTTGCTGTTATCCCAGGCAGTTTTGGAGCCATTTTGCAGTGGGAATCCTGCAGGCTTTATTCCAGCTCAATGTGAGTGAGGATCCAGGGATTTCACCTGGACCTTTGCTGTTCCCCAGTGTTTCCCACCCCCACCCCCGTGGGTCCCAGAGCTGCCCAGGCTCTCGTGTCCCTCCTCAGGCCCCGAGCCAGCCCCACCAAAGCTCTCCTGGCTTGGGAGCAGCTCCTGGCCCCGGTGCCTGTGTCCCTGTCCCCCTGCACAGCCCTGGCTGCGCCCCGAGCTGGGGCTGTTCCCAAAGCTCCGTTCCCAAATGCCGCCCCTGCACTGGGGCAGCGCTGATCCCTTTGCCCCGGGGTTTGTGCTGGGATTCCAGAGCCCGTCCCTCCCCTCTGCCCTCCATGAAATCTGTTATCCGAGGATTTTATTCCTATTTTTTTTTCCTTCTCAAGAGGATTAAAGAAGTTGAGAACTGCAGTGTGTTGTGTCTGTTTGCAAAATCCACATCACAGGGCTCTCACTGGACACTTGGGGGAATTTTCTTGGAAAAATTGTCGAATTCTTGACATAAATTGTAAATATCTTGAAGATTTGATGTTGTATCTTCAGCTGGCTTCCTGTAATTCCAGTTAAACTTGGGATGTTCATTTCTGACTTTATGTTCTTTAAGTTTTGTCCTGTAAAGGCCAAAAAAAGTCCCCAAAACTGAGCTGTGTTCGGGGAATTTTATTTAAATTCCCCCTGTAAATAATGGATCATTCCCATATTTTCCTCCTGTTGAGCTCCAGGTATAAATTGTATAAATTATTATTTTATTATTAAAATAATTATTATTTATTAAATTGTATAAATTGGTATTGGTAAATTTTGGTATAAATTGTTTTATACAGGACACAGATCTGAGAAATTCCTGTTAATTTTGGGCTCCCTGGATTCTGTTTTTTCCTCTCTGCTTTGGACAATTTGGGATAAATTTTTTTTGTAATGGACACAATTCCTTTATATTTTGGAATTCCTGGGTTCTGTTTCCCTCTCTGTTCTGGTAAAATTCCACATTTTCCATCATTTTGTCCCATTTTTCCTGCCCTGGGGTTTTTTTTCCTGACGTTCCCCCTCTGATTCCACGGCTGGAATTTTATCAGACACCTCACAGTGAATTATTTAAATGGAACCCTTTTATTTATACAAATGTACAACAATTTACACCTGTTAAAAACAATTCAACATTTCAAAGCAAGGTCCCTATAAAATAAATACGGAGCAGCTCAGCATTGGGGGGGTCTGGAACCCCCCAGGAGCTCAGGGAACCCCAAATTGCTGCAGGGGGTTCAGACACTTTAATTTCATTTTCTTTAAAAGGAAAATCCAGGGAGACGCCACAGGAGGGACGGGCTTGGAATTTTTTGGGAATCTCCAGGTGGAATTTGCATAGAAAAAGAGAATAAAACTCTTAAAACCAGAGATGGAGAGCGAAATTGCAAGTTTGGCTGGGGGGGAGACCAAAAAAAAGTTGATTTTATATTAAAATCATTGAAAACAAACAGCAGCGAAGGTCGATTTTTATAAAGATGTACATCTATAATTTATATATAAAATATAAATTTTTTTTAATAACATCCCCTGTGAAACACACTGAGCTTTTCCTTGCCTGGAGAAATCCCCTGGAATTAAATTAAATGGAGAGCAAGAACTGCTCCTGAACCTCCAGGAAATCTCCCTGGAAATTCAATCCCAAGGCCACAAAATTCAGGAGATTCCTGATTTTCCAGAATATCCCACATGGATTCTCCAGGAATCTCCATTTCCCTGTAATTCCCCCCCAAAAAAGCATTTTAAGCCTTAAAAACACCAGAATTTGATAGAGCTCATTACCTTGGAGCAGGAATAGGAAAAACTTCGCTCCTGAAAGAATAATTAATGATTATTTTTAAAAAAATTAATTAAAAAACAGTTTAAAGCAAGTCCATGACACCCTGCTTTTATTACTGACTTTGCAATACAAAATTGGTTCTTTTATAAAAGTGATGTAAACCATTTTAAATATATATATTTATATTTATATCTATTTTTGATCATTTATTTTTGATCATTTCTATATTACAGGCTCACTGACTTGCAAACCATCCCTTTTTTCCTGGCAAGATCAGCGGATTTTGGAATTTTTTTCCAGCATTTCCAAACCCTCCTTGACCTCCAAAAATAAATATTGCATCCGTGATTTCCCAGCAAAACGAGCACCACGGGTCACCCAAACAGCCCAGAATTCATGGAATAAAAATCCCGTGGAATAAAAATCCCATGGAATAAAAATCCCGTGGAATAAAAATCTCGTGGAATAAAAATCCCGTGGAATAAAAATCTCGTGGGAATAAAAATCTCGTGGAATAAAAATCCCGTGGAATAAAAATCTCATGGAATAAAAATCCCATGGGAATAAAAATCTCGTGGAATAAAAATCCCGTGGAATAAAAATCCCATGGAATAAAAATCCCAGGAGGTATTTGGGGTAAATTTCCTCTCTGTCAGGTTCTGGGCTTTGGGGTTAAAATGGGAAAATATTGGAAATATTCCCCTGAACCAGTGGGGGAGCAGCAGCTCTTCATCCTCCTGCTGAGGGGTGTGCATGGAAATGAGGAATTTGGGGGATTTCTCTGGTTGAATTTCTGAATCCCAGCATTTCTCTGCTGGAAATGAGGAATTTTAGGGAGTTCTCTGCTGGGGGTTGGAAATTCCAGCGGTTTTCCACTGGAAATTCGAATTTTTTAGGAATTTTTCTGGCTGAGTTTGGGAATTCCAGTGGCGTTCCAATGGAAAAGAAGATTTTTAGGGATTTCTGTGGTGAAAATCCTGCGATTTCCTGCTGGAAAAGAGGATTTTTAGGGATTTCTCTGGTTCAATTTAGGAATTCCGGTAGTTTTCTGCTGGAAATGTGGACTTGTAGGGATTTCTCTGCTGGAGTTTGGGAATTCCAGCTGTTTCCTGCTGGAAATGAGGATTTTTAGGGATTTTTTCTGATGGGGGTTGGAAATTACAGCAGTTTTCCGCTGGAAATTAGAATTTTTTAGGGATTTTTCTGCTGGAGTTTGGGAATTCCAGCTATTTTCCAATGGAAATGGGGATTTTAGGGATTTCTCTTGTTGAATTTGGGAATTGCAGCTGTTTTCTGCTGGAAATGTGGATTTTTGGGGATTTCTGTGGTTGAATTTAGGAATTCCATGGTTTTCTGCTGGGAATGAGGACTTTTAGGGACTTCTCTGGTGGAATTTAGGAATTCCAGCAGTTTTCCCCTGGAAACACAAATTTGTAGGGATTTATCTGGTGGAGTTTGGGAATTCCAGTAGTTTTTCCCTGGAAATGAGGATTTTTAGGGATTTCTCTGGTTGAATTTGGGAATTCCTGTAGTTTTCCCCTGGAAATGAGGATTTTTAGGGATTTCTCTGGCAGAATTCAGGAATTCCAGCTGTTTTCCGGGTGATGGCATCTCCTCCTTTGCTTCCTCGCTGCCCATCCCAGAGGAGCCGGAGCTGCGGGAACGCTGCAGCCCCGTCCTGTGTTAATTACGGCGTGTTAATGAGCCGGGGGTTAATGAGCTGGGAGTGCCAGCGGGCTGTTCCCGAGGGGAGCACGGACACGGGAACGCTTCAGTGCCGGTCCTTGGCCGGGATAAGCCGGGCTTTACCCGAGTTAGGCCGGGCTTTGCCCAGGTTAGGCCGGGCTTGGTGCCTTTCCAGGCTCAGAGGTGTTTCCAGAATGGTCCCGGGATTGTCCCCAGAGTTCCTGCAGCGAGCGGGGACAGAGCGGGAATTCCGCTCCTAAGCGCGGTCCCAAACCCGGGACCAGCCAGAACCGGGCGGGAGTGCAGGGCTGGCTCCGCTGGGCCAGCGTGGCGCTGTCGCTGTCCGGTCACCATCCCTACCCCGTCTTGTCACCGTCCTGTCCCTGTCCTGTCCTTGGCACTGTCGTTGTCACCATCGCTGTCCCCTCCTTGTCCTGTCGTTGTCACCGTCACCGTCCTGTCGTTGTCATTGTTACCGTCCCTATCACCGTCCCTGTCCTGTCGCGGTCTCTGTCACTGTCGTTGTCCCCATCACTGTCCTGTCGTTGTCATTGTTACCATCCCTAACACCATCCCCTTCCTGTCGCGGTCGCTGTCTCTGTCACTGTCGCGGTCACTGTCCGGTCTCTGTCGCTGTCGTTGTCATTGTTACCGTCCCTATCCTGTCGCAGTCTCTGTCACTGTCATTGTCACTGTCTCTGTCCTTCACCGTCTGTGTCACTGTCGTTGTCACTGTGGTTGTCATCGTCACTGTCCTGTCGCTGTCGTTGTTACCGTCCCTATCACCGCCACTGTCCCGTCGCTCTCGCTGTCTCTGTCCCTGTCGCTGTCACTGTCTGGTCTCTGTCTCTGTCACTGTCGCGGTCCCTGTCCCGATCCCTGTCGCTGTCCTTTTGCTGCTGCCGTCTCTCTCGCTGTCCGGTCTCTGTCGCTGTCTCTGTCACTCTCGCTGTCCTTGTCGTGGTCACTGTCGCGGTCTCTGCCCCTGTCGTGGTCACTGTCCGGTCTCTGTCGCTGAAGCTCTCGTTGTCTCTGTCGCTGTCCTGTCGCAGTCCCTGTCGCCGTCACTGCCCGGTCTCTGTCCCTGTCGCTGTCACTGTCAGGTCCCTGTGGCTGTCTCGGTCCCTGTCACTGTCGGGTCCCTGTCGCTGTCGCGGTCCCTGTGGCTGTCTCTGTCACTGTCGGGTCCCTGTCGCTGTCGCGGTCCCTGTGGCTGTCTCTGTCACTGTCAGGTCCCTGTGGCTGTCTCGGCCCCTGTCACTGTCGGGTCCCTGTCGCTGTCGCGGTCCCTGTGGCTGTCTCTGTCACTGTCAGGTCCCTGTGGCTGTCTCTGTCCCTGTCACTGTCGGGTCCCTGTCGCTGTCGCGGTCCCTGTGGCTGTCTCTGTCCCTGTCGCGGTCGCTGTCGCGGTCAGTGTCCCGCGGCCGTGAGCCAGCGCTGTGCCAGCAGCGCCAGCCCGAGCGCGGCGGGGCCGAGCGGGGCCGGGCCCGCGGTGGCGCTGAGCGGGGACAGCGTGGCGAACACGGCGTCCGAGGCGTTCCGCGGCAGCGGCAGGTTACAGATGCTGCCCTCGCAGCACGACGTGCACACCTGCACGGACAGACAGACGGACGGACAGGGAATGAGGGATTCCAGAGGGAAAAGCAGGGAATGGGGAATTCCAGGGAAAACAGGGAATGAGGGATTCCGGGGAGGAAAACGAAGGGAAAATAACGGTACATTAGCAAAGGAGCTCCCTGAGATTTTTCCTTCTCTTTTTCCCTCTCCTGCCACTTTTAAAAAAATCCGTCTATTGAGAGAACATGATTTTCTCTCTTCTTTTTCTTTCCCTTTTCCCCCTCCCTTTTTAATAATTTCCAAGGGAAATTCGATTTCAGCCGATGCTGAGTTTACCCACTGACCCAGCCAGACTTCTGGCACACTCCAATTACTCCATAAATTATAATTTCTATCAATAATATTATATATATTATGAATAAATATTATATATAAGTATATATGCATAATATACATATCATATAATACATATAATATATAATATACAAAATCAATTATATACTATATACATATAATTTAAGTATTATATATACACTGAACATATTGTATATAGTAGATATTATATATAATATTAAAATATAACATGATATTATATAAGGTAACATATGAAATATATTATGTGTTATTAAATATAGTTGTATATTTTTTTATATTACATCTAATAGGCCGTATTGATTGATATATTGATATTTATATTGATATATTAAGGATATATAAGGGTATTATATAGTATATTGTATATGTACTTCAATATATAGATAATTCGTTTTATATATTACATATAAATTTATTATATGTATAAATATATTTACAATATAGAGAGAATATATTGCATATATTGCATATATTGTACCATGTACATTATATACTATATATCATGTATTGTATACTATTATATATTGTTACATATTGTATTCACAATATTTTGTATATATGTGAAATATATTGTATATTATATATAATGTACAATATAAATTGCATACTATACTATATCTATTGTATTTTATATACTATATCTTTTATATAATATTTCTATCTATTATATATTTTAGATAGCATTATTATATATTTCATATATATTTTATATTATATTTTGTCTTATATATTATCCTATATTTCTATATTTGCTATTATATTATATCTAAAATATTGTCTCTATTAGGAATATATAATATACATTACATTATATATATAGCACACATTATATATTACCTGCTAATATATCAAATACATACTGTATATTATTATAGATTACATTATATCTAAAATATTACAATATATGGTATATATTAGATATAGAATATGTATAATTTATACATTATATAGACATTGTACATATATTACATACAGTATATATTATACATAACACTATTATATATTATATATTATATATTATATATTATATATTATATATTATATATTATATATTATATATTATCATATATATTGTATTATATTATATTATATTATATTATATTATATTATATACATAGAAAATTAAAATATATCACTGAACGTTATATAATAATAATATTTGGAATATCTACTATATATAATATGTAGCATATAATAGTGTCATAAATATTTTATTACATTATATTACATTATATTTTTTTTTCAATTTTCTCTATATCTGCACATACTATATTTACAAAACAACCCCTAATTCTATAATTTTTCTCTGTTTCTCCCACCTTGTACTCCTCGTGCCTGATGTAGGTGCAGCCCGTGCTCAGACACTCCTCCAGGGCCACGCAGCGCTTGGTGACAGACACGCTCTCCCCGCTGGCCCTCATCATGTGCTGGCTGAAGCAGTACCTTGTCCCTAAAAAAACATGGAAAAGTCTTTAGCTGCCCGATTCCAGCAGGAGAAATAGGAAACAAATCTTATATTTTTATAAAATAAAGGATTTCTTCAAAAATACCAATTTTGGGTGTATTTCTTGTAGATCATGTGCTGGCTGAATCAGTACCTTGTCCCTAAAAACATGAGAAATATTTACCTGCCTAATTCCCATTCCCTGAGAGTCCTCCAGCAGGAAAAGTAGGAAAGAAATCTTATCTTTTTATCAAATCAGGGCATTTTTTCAAAAATACCACTTTTAATGTATTTATTGTATATCATGTGCTGGCTGAAGCAGCACCTTGTCCCTAAAAAATGAGAAATATTTATCTGCCTAATTCCTTTTCCCTAAGAGTCCACCAGCAGGCAAAATAGGAAAGAAATGCTGGATTTTTATCCAGTCATGGGACCTTTAAAAAAATACCGATTTTGGATGTATTTATTGTAGATCATGTTCTGGCTGAAGCAGTACCTTGTCCCTAAAAAACATGGGACAATCTTTATCTGCCCAATTCCCTTTCTCTGAGATTCCACCAGCAGGAGAAATAGAAAAGAAGACCTGGATTTTTATCAAATCAGGGAATTTTTTCAAAAATACCATTTTTAATGTATTTATTGTATATCAATACGGCTGGCTGAAGCAGCACCTTGTCTCTAAAAAGCATGAGAAATATTTATCTGCCTAATTCCCTTTCTCTGAGAGTCCACCAGCAGGAGAAATAGGAAAGAAATGCTGGATTTTTTTTCCAATCATGGGATCTTTAAAAAAATACCAATTTTTGATGTATTTATTGTATATCGTGTGCTGTCTGAAGCAGCACCTTGTCCCCAAAAAAAACATAGAAATATTTACATGCCCAGTTCCCTATTGCCCCTTTCTCCTGTCCAAACAAGGATTTATCTGGGAATGTTGGGCTGGTGCCATGCCAGCCAGCCTGGGGGTTTTATTGCTGCTGATTTGAGCTCAAAGGAAGCAAATTCTGGGCTGATAACGGGCCTGACATAGGCTGCAAACACAGCAGGGTCATCTCCTTCCAAAATAAACATTTCCCAAAGGCAAAATCCCAAAACAGCCCAGCTAAATGGGATTCACTGGAGCTGTGGATAATCTCGATGTTCTGTGATGTTTTTGTTTCTCTTTGCCTCAGAAGAGAACTGAAGGAAGGGAGGATCTGGGCAGCTCAGATCCGATATTTGAGTATTTTATTAAAGGGTTTTTCTGAGCTGTTCCCAATTTCAGACTCCAAGGGGATTTATGGGATCAAATAAAATACCAAAATTCCAGCTGTGGCTGCCCTGAATGTGGATTTGTGCCATAGGAGAGGGAGGTGAACACAGCCAGAAACTGGTCCTGTATTCACCAGTAAGAGAAATAAAACTCTTAAAAACAATAAAACTCTTTAAAAAATCCTTCCCTGTGAGGGTGGGAGGGATTGGGATGGAATTCTCAGGGAAGCTCCCGGATTCCTGAGATTCAACCAGCAGGAGAAATAGGAAGGAAATGCTGGATTGGAAGAGTCCAAGGCCTTGGAAGCGTGCAAGGCCAGGTTGGATGCCCGAAGCACCCTGGGATCGTGGAAGGTGTCCTTGCCCATGGAATGGGATGAGCTTTAAGGTCCCTTCCCATCCAAACCAGTCTGGAATTTTGGGAAAGCAACACCAGCCTGATTGAATCCTCCAGCTGAGCCAGAGGAAAACAGGGAATAGCTCCAAGTGCTCAACCTCATCCACTGCATGGAGACAGAAAAGCTTAAGGGTGAACCCCAGAATGCCATATTCCACATTTCTGGGAATAAGGGGGCTCCGTTGGGTTGGGATGGGGCTGGTTACCTCGGGGGCAGTAAACATCCGGAGCCCAGCGGTTGCACTCGTAATTATCCGAGGCCTTTTCGCAGGTGAAACACTTAAATCCATGAGGATATGGCGTGGCTGAAAGGAATGGAAAATATGGAATTAATAGGAATGATAATGAAGTTAAAATGACCCCATTAATCTGGTTCTACACTGCTTTTTGGGAGAAAGACTTAAATCCATGAGGATACGGCGTGGCTGAAAAGAATGCAAAATATGGAGTTAATAAGAATGGAAAATGGAGTTAAAATGACCCCACTAATCTGGCTCTACACTGCTTTTCGGGAGAAACACTTAAATCCATGAGGATATGGTGTGGCTGAAAGGAGTGGAAAATGTTGAATTCATAGGAATGATAATGGAGTTAAAATGACCCCGTTAATCTGGTTCTATGCTGCTTTTTGGGAGAAAACAGCAATATTTTTTCTCCTTAAATCTGAATTACTCCAGATTTTCATGCCAGTGTCAGCGGGTTGGTCCTGATTTGTAAAACCCCGACCCCCACAGCACATTTAGGTCGCTGTGGACTCGTTCCAGCTGTGTTTACCCAGCCAAAGTGCCCAGTGCTGACTTCAAAGGGAGCTAATGGGAGCTGGGAGGGCTCATTCCCCAGGAATCAGAGCTCACATCCAGCACTGCGGCTTTATCAGTGCTGATAACAAAATATCAGGTGGATTGAAACACTCTGGGAATTGTCCCACCGAGGCAAAGAGCTGCTCCTGTTCCACGGCCCCACAGGGAACAAAACCACTGTGCTGAACCTCCAGCTCTCAACAGCAGCCTCTGTCCTAATTTATCTCACCAAACCAGGCCTAATTCCTTAATTGCTCTCCTGGCAGCACTTCTGGGGCAGTTTCAATCCCTGCTCAAGGTGCTGCCACCTCCTCAGAAGCCAAATGGTGAACGGGTCACATTTATCAGCACTTTGAACCTCGACAGCCCCAAGGGCCACATCTTCACCCTCCTCCTCATCACCTCCTCCCCTGGCAGGATGAGAAGCCTCAGCTTCTCCACGTTGTGCTCCTCTGGAATGTGATTTGGAGAATTGTTTACCCAGCAGGTGAATTGTTTTAATTCAACATCCAATCACAGACAGCTGTGTCGGACTCTGAGTCTGTCATGGGTTTTTATTATTCATTCTCATTGAGCCTTCTTGTGGCAATGTTCCTCACTTGGGGCTCACCAAATGGGGAATTTGCAGGCAGTCCTGACAAGGGAAGAGACAAGAATCTTGACTCCATGTTTCAGAGGGCTGATTTATTATTTTATGATATATATTATATTAAAAGAAAATGATATATTAAAACTATATAAAAGAATAGAAGGAAGGGCTTCATCAAAGCTAGCAAGGAACAGAAAGAATGATAATAAAATCTTGTGACTGACCTGAGAGTCTGAGCCAGCTGGACTGTGATTGGCCATTAATTAAAAACAAACACGTGAGACCAATCACAGATGCACCTGTTGCATTCCACAGCAGCAGATAACCATTGTTTACATTTCGTTTCTGAAGCCTCTCAGATTCTCCGGAGAAAAGACCCTAAGGAAAGGATTTTTTATAAAACGTGTCTGTGACACCTTCTGATGTCTCCTTTCTCTTCCTTTAGTATAGTTCTAGTATACAACTTCTTTCAGTATAATATAACATAATAATATAATAAATCAGCCTTCTGAGAACTTGGGGTCAATTCCCATCTCTCACCTCGTCCTGGGGACCCTCACAACAATTTAGGGTGTCAGGGGGAGGTGACTTACTGGAGGGGTGGAGGTAGACGATGTCCTTGGCGGTGAAGTCGCGGCTCCGCGCGGCCGGAGCGCGGCCGGGCAGCAGGAGCAGCAGGAGCAGGAGCAGCCTTGGTGGCCAGGCCATGGCCCGGCCAGCACCTGCTCATGCGGCGGCCGAGATCCCCACCTGGGCAGAGTCACAGAATGCCAGAGTTATCCAGGCTGGAAAGCACCTCTGAGATCATTGGGTCCAACCCGTGCCCAACACCCCCTTGTCCCACGGAGGCAAAGAGCTGCTCCTGTTCCACAGCCCCAGAGGGAACAAAACCACTCTGCTGAACCTCCAGCTCTCAACAGCAGCCTCTGTCCTAATTTATCTCACCAAACCAGGCCTAATTCCTTAATTGCTCGCCTGGCAGCACTTCTGGGGCAGTTTCAATCCCTGCTCAAGGTGCTGCAATCTCCTCAGAAGCCAAATATTGAACCACGGCACTGAGGGCCACATCCAGGCTGTCCTTCCAAACCTCCAGGGATGGTGACTCCAGCACCTCCCTGGGCAGCCATTCCCATGGCCAATCCCTCTTTTCTGGCTGGAGCAGGGATGAGCAGAGAAAAAGCAGAAAGACTTGGCCACCACCTTCTCCCCATAACCCAACCCCGGAGCCTCCAACTCCTCTGGTTAATTTGGCATCAATAAACACCAAAATCATAATTATCTGAGGCCTTTTCACAGGTGAAACACTTAAATCTATGAGGATACGGTGTGGCTGAAAGGAATGGGGAATATGGAGTTAAAAGGAATGGATAATATAGAGTTAAAAGGAATTGAAAATATGGAGTTAAAGGGAATGGATAATATGGAGTTAAAGGGAATAGATAATATGGAGTTGAATGGATAATATGGAATTAAAAGGAATGGATACTATGGAGTCAAAATGACCCCGTTAATCTGATTCCACGCTGCTTTTCAGGAGGAAACAGCAATGTTTTTTCTCTTTGGATCCAAATTTCTCCAGATTTTCCTGTCAGTGTCAGTGTGTTGGTTCTGATTTGTAAAACCGCGTCCCACACAGCACATTTAGGTTGGTGGAAAAGGTGGAGAAAGGATCTCCCTGGATTCCTTGCAGTGCAAGGGGGAAGCTGGCTGGTCCCACAGGACACCTCATCTCCACCTTCCTCCTGACTTCTCACTGGCTGGGCCACATCTCCATGATCCTGTGAGGCTCCTACTGATTATATCTTGGCATTTTCTCTTGGAAAAGCCTCCATCTCAGATCTACAAAGTCATCATTGGATTTTCCTCGTCCATGCTCCAAAGGGGTTTATTCCCTTTATTATGCCATTAATAAATAATTCGGTGCATTCTTCCCAAGTCCCTGACTGAAGGGAACTAATTAAAGCAGAACCCAACACCCACTGTGGTACCATGGCTGAGACCATCCCAATCCCAGGCTGTGGGGAGCCACCCAGGGGCAGACAAGGCTAAAAAATCATTAAATATACAGCTCAGATTATTAGATACCCTCAAAAAATTATGAAAGTGCCTCAAAAATCAAACATGACAGGAAAATCCTGAAAGGATGCGGCTGCTGAGCCCGGCTGGAGCCGATGGTTTCCTTTGGAATCCATCCAGAACACACAGAGCTGGGATGAGTTTTTCCATCCTGATCAACCAAAAGATCTGCAACACCCAGATAATTGCTGAGCAGCTCTGAATATGTGGTGGTTATTATGTAATAAATTTTATTTTTTGTTGATTTTTTTTTTTCAGGAAAGATATGATGGGGTTGGGCATGTCACCTCCAAATGTTTGTCCCGCAGCAGAAATCCACCCAGGACCAGCAGCACAAAGGTTGTCATTGTCCCTGCTGTTGTCTACAAACAGTTTTTTTATTAAAACACATAAATAATATGAAATCCATAAATAATATGAGGAAAAAAGATAACACACAGCCTGGTGCTTTAACCTTATGAAGAGGGAATTTTGGATTTACTCCATTGATCCCTCACAGCCAGGGGAGAATGAAATCCTGATTAGAAGCAGACAGGAAATAAAACAAACCTCTCCCAACCACGTGGAAGATGAAAGAAATGGGTGCATGTAGGATCTGGAGGCAGAATTTGGAATTTGGGACTGTTTTTTTTTTATCCCAAACAACACCAGGAAGGTTTCACAAGCCTCACTCTTCATTTTAAGACATCAGCAGTTTGCAGTGAGACCATCAGGAGCAAAAAATGAGGATTTGATCCTGAGCTACAGCACCAAAAAATGAAGATTCACATCCCAAAAAGAGGAGCTCATCACAGGTCAACTCCAACTCTCATCAATAATTAACAAATTATCAACACAAAGGACAGACAGTCATGGAATCAAGGTTGGAAAAGACTTCCAATATCATCACATGCAAACTTTATAGTGATATTTTAAGCTAAAGCACAGCAAGGTTGAAATAACGGCAGGAATTCCTCCCAGAGAGACAGGAATTTGTTGGGTTTGCTCATCCGAAGCACAAAACTCTTTTGTTTTTGCAGAACTGATCAAAGCCTTGCAGTTGGGGACGTTGCTTTTTCCCAGTGTCCCTTTTGTGGGACCAACTGCTCACCCAGCCCCTCTCCAAATCCTCTGTGGCAGCACTCAGCCATCAGTTTGGAAAAGTGGCTGGTGTCAGAAAGCCTCCAGCTGCTCCCTAAAAACATCCACATCCTTCCTCTGCTAATTGCAAGGGCCTTAATTGCCAGCTCCTAATGAGTGGCAAGAAACCGTAAATGAACAGAGAGAATTCACTGCCCCACCTCCGTTTTCTGTTTGAAACAGGTTTAATCACAGGCAAAGAATTGCAATTTTAACATCCTCTGGGACAGAAAATTGTCCAGAGCAAGGCAAGCAGGGCCAAAATTTCAAACCATGTAATTTAGGGAAGTCCTCATGTGGCAAGAAGCTGCCGCCATTACTGTCACCATGACCATATTCCACCTGCTCATTCCATACACACACAGGTTGGGTAAAACCAGGAATTTCTACAAACATGGAAATACCCAGTGCCAAAAACCTAAATATTTAATATTCCATGAATATTTTGAGTATGAACAGATGGCGTACACATAGTTCTGTGTTTCATGGGGGGCAAATATTTGGTGACATTTAAGGTAATGATGATATTTCACAGAGAGTGGAGTGGCAAAAAATATTTAGCATTAAAGTAATATTAAATACTTAAGAATTCAATAGCCAATAATTATATATTAACTATTCAATTAATTATATATTAATTCAATGTTCAGCACACTCATTTTCTCTAGTGTTACACTCACACATAAAAATAAAATGTAAGAAAGGTATCTGTACAAATATAGATATATAAATATGAATACACGGTCTTAAAACCTGTAAAAATTTGGTTTGGTTCCCAAAATCCTACAAAATTCTAATTTTCTGCAATGGATTCTCTTTAGGAATGCTATAAGCCCTGAGAAACTTCACCAAGGGCGTAAAGGGTTTTTCATTCACTCCCAAGCCCCTTTTATTCAGGACTTTCAGCCAAAACAGCCAAATTTTGTACAAAAATTTTATTTTCAAGAATTATTGGTGGTGTACCACCTATTCCAGGGCTAAACCTCTGCTGGTAGAGCAGATATGAGGCATGGGCAGATAGTTTTTCCCTCAGAATTCCCTCGGCTCCTCACATGGATTTTGGGGTTTTTAGAATGGGGGTTCAGGGGGCAAGATGGAGGAATCTGGGCGTGTCCAGCCTTTCTCCTTCTTCTTCTTGGCCTCCATCTCCTGCTGTGATGGTGGCACTTTGGGATTGGTTTAGAGCAGAAGCTCACTGTCTAACACAGGTGATGCGCATTGGGCAGTAATTGTAAATATTGCACACGTAGTTTTTAGTATAAAATGATGACACCATCCCTGGGGCAGGCAGAGTGCCTTGGGCTGTCTTGCTGAACAGACTTCAACTGGACAAGAGAAAGAATTTTATAGATAAGGAACAATAAATAACCTTGAGAGCGAGAACTGAAGAGCTCTGACTCCTTCTTCGAGCACCGGGCTGGGAAAAGAGAATTTCTGACACATCTGGGGGTCACTGTGAGCAGCAGAGAATCCAAGAACAAGTCCCACATTTGGGTTTGGATCATTTGGATCATGCAATCAGTGTGTGAGAGGGCCTGGGTGCTGACACAGAAATCCCATCCCTGTCAACTCCCTCTGCCCTGCTCCAGCAGCACCTCAGAGGTGGGAAGGCCATTCCCTGAGTGTGACACAGTGCAAAGCACCAAGACTCCATCAGAAGGGTGCAAGAGAGAGGGATTTGTTACAGCAACGTGTTGCTTTTATAGTTTTTCAAGATATTTACATTTACTTAACAGACACATTCACTGCCCATTGGTTAGAGAGGAACAAAGTTCTCAGTGGGTGACCAAGGAGCCATGCCATTCTGGAGCCAGCTGGAGTCCATATCTTTAACTTTCTCTCCTTCATCACCTCTCACAATGGTGACAACCTTGGTGTCTTCCTCAGCAGAGATATGGGGCTTTCCTTTATCTTCAGGAGGCCTTGCTGGCTCACAAGAACAGCACAAAATGCCTTTCCTACAGCTCCCATTTTGGATTATTCCAGCCTGGCCTTTGCCCCACCACGGTGCAAATGAGCCATGGGAGGCCCTGAGCAGCAGCCCAGTTGCCCACTTGTCAGCTCTCATTAGGGAGGGGACATCTCGGCCTCGCTGGCACCGGCGCTGGGGACAATGGAAGGTCCCAACCCTCCCCGGAGAGGAGGCCGGATATCAGGGCTCTGGGTTTAGGGGAGAAGTGTTGATGGAGGGGACAGTTATTTTAAAGGATGGCTTTGTCCCTTCTGCCCTCCTCAGGCTCAGCTGGCTGACCATGGCCAACCCCCGAGCTGGGCCTGCTGCAAGTTTGCAGTAAAAAAACCATTCCAGGAAGGATAAAAAAAGGGAGTCAGACACCATACACTCAGCCAAAGCCAGGCAGGAAGGAATTCCTGACTCACGGGTATTTCTGTGGTTCTCCTCACACAAGCATGGCACAGGTTGTGGTGTTCAGGGCCCTCCACCTTGCTCCAGGGGGAGATGGAGCATTTCCCTGCTCTCCCTGGATTTCCAGGGCAGTGGGAAATTGCCTGGTTGGTGGGAGGCTGATGATTGTCCCTCACAGGAGGAGGTTGAT